TGACATAGATACTGAAGTACTGTGATGTTGTTTGACTAGCAACCCTGTTCTTGGAGCTGTGGAAGAGACATCGAGCTCTGCATGTGTCAAAGTGGAAAGTGTTTGACTGGTGCGAGGAGGAGGTAGGGTCATTACTTTTTTCTCATCATCACTTTTAGCATATTTAATGTGCATCTTGTAATGGAGCCAAACAACTTGATCTGTCCACAGGAAGAATTGATTTTGGAGATTGTAAATAACCCTCAGTGTAAGCCAAAAGAGTTCAGACATTCCTACCTGCGCAGCATCGTGGTGCTTCTTTTGGTTACATTAGTGGTGAGAATTTTTTAAATTTTAGTTTTACTACACACACACACACATAAACAAGTAATGTAAAAAATAATATCTTATCTTCATTGTGTTCAGTTGGTGGTGATCATAGGTCTGGCCCATGCTCTGGTCATCTGCCGTGTTTTAACTGCAATATTGTTGTCCCAAAGTGAGTGGGACTTTTTCCGTGATCATGCTACCACAATAGCCATGTTATCTGGAGCAGTGCTGCACTACATTACTATTCAGGTTATGACTCGGGTAAGTACTGATAGAAAACTGTCTAATGAGAATAAAACATTTGGTTGTTAATGAACATGGGGACTTTCTGGAAGAAAATAATACATTCGTTTCTTTTCAGGTCAACAAAACTGTGGCATTCAAACTGTGTGAGTTTGGTGGGTATTAAATTTTTTTTTTTTACATAAAATCAATTACATTGATAAACTGACAAACTACTGGTACCAATATGTAATTACTGTTTATTTGCAGAAAAGACCCGCTCTTTTGCAGCCACAGAGAAGCGCTTCACAGTGAAGATGTTCACATTTCAATTCTTTACTCTCTTCTCATCTCTATTTTATGTGGCGTTCTTTCTAGGAAGGTAATTGTGCGTATGTGCTTTTGTAGTTATTTACTCTTATGGCAGGCTATTCAAAGTGTCTCTTTATGCTGTACTTAGGATCAATGGCTATCCAGGAAACTATGTTCGAATTGCAGGAAAATGGAGACTAGAAGAGGTAAAAGTCATGCCAGTATTACTGTACATTATATGTACATTTATATTTAGAAATGCTTATTTAGCTATATTTATGCATTTGTCAGACACTTATTCAAAGTGTGATTCTAATCTAACTGCAAACAAATATTTCTTTGATTTAGTGTCATCCAAGTGGCTGCCTTACAGACCTCTTCATCCAGATGGCTGTTATTCTGGTGCTCAAACAAACAATCAACAACATATTTGAGTTCACAGTGCCGTAAGTGTTTTCTGAAATACTGTATGCACTAAAACCAAACAAGATAAAATCCTCATATTTTTCCAGATTCCAGAAAAAAATGACAGTGCTTATTGGACTTCTTGGATTTCGCTCTCATTTTCTATCTCTGCTTCTTTTCACTTTCTGTTTGTGGCCACAGCTGGTTAAAGCTCTGTTTTAGGCGGACGAAAGCCAAGAAGATGCGCAGAAAGTGTGGTAACTGTTACCGGAAGGCATGTCGAGAGGAGGAGGGCAACTTCAACCTATGTGACCTCTGCAAGCTTCGTAGTTGGCTGGACAACTACGACCTGAATGATGTTAATGCTTTCAGCTTGTTTAATGAGTTTTTGGAAATGGGTTCGTATCTCTCTCGATTACCTGTTTTCAGCACAAACTAGTTTTACAGCACCGCTGACTTACCAATAACATCCAATTTGTTTACTGTAATATCATTTTTGGATTGCAAAGATTTATTTTAGTTATATTTTGACATTTGTTTGAGTGAACTTTACAGTAAAGCCACATGCTTTATTTGTGGTAATGTTCCCAAGTCATCCACTAACCTGTACTGTTCTCTGTGTCATTAGTTCTTCAGTTCAGTTTCACCACTATTTTTGTGGCTGCCTTCCCTCTGGCTCCCTTATTGGCTCTTATCAATAACATATTTGAGATCAGACTGGATGCCATCAAGATGGTCAGCCTTGAGCGCCGCCTAGTGCCCAAAAAGACAAATGACATTGGTGAATAGTTACTGTATTTGTGCAGTGATGATGATGTGTACGTCAGTTTTCAGCATCAAGTAAACACATTGTACCATGTATTCTCCTCTGGCAGGTGTGTGGACTAGAATATTAGAAGCTGTCGGGGTGATGGCTGTCATTGCTAATGGACTAGTGATTGGGATTTCCTCTGACTTCATTCCCCGTCTGGTGTATCGTTATCATTATGGACCTTGTGCTACTAGCAATAGTACAAGCATGGAGTGAGTAGTAAACTAAACAAACAGTGTTTTCCACCTTTTCATCTCGCCACAACTTATTGGCAAAGAAGTGTCAAATCAAAAAGTTTGTTCGTATATATGACACTAGATTACTGCTGTAATGAGTACATTTATTTTGTCTGATAGCTGTATGACGGGATACATCAACAACACTCTGGCAACAGCATTCATGTCCAATGACAAAGTGAGAGAGGACTTCAAGCAATTGATAGTGAATGGATATAATATTACGCAGTGCAGGTGACACTTGTTTTGTTGGTTTTGATGTACCTTTTAATAATGCAGATGAACTTGATTGGTTTGTTCAATAAGGGAATGCTTCATGTCATACAGTGTCATTGCATTGAATGTGTATTGTGTATTCTACAGTTACAAAGACTACCGCAATGATGAAGACCAGAGTCTCACCTCTCAGTTTTGGCTCATTCTGGCACTCCGCTTTGCCTTTGTTATTCTGTTCGAGGTACAAATATTAGAGCTATTTAACTTAACTTTCTGTTTTATTTTTCTTTTAACACGCTTTACTGTGTTGATTTTTGGTTAAACATTGTCTGAGATCTCCTGTGCTTCTCTCCACTCAGCATGTAGTGGTGATGTGCAAATTTATCGCTGCCTGGTTTATACCTGACAGTCCCATCAGAGTGAAGAACGACAGGCTAGACGACAAACTGAGAAGACTGAAAAAGGAACTTCAGTAAGTATTTTCATGTGACTGAGATATGAACTCTTTCTCACTGCTTTGCATTGTTGTAAAGTTATATTAAAATATTTAGGAGTCCAGTTATAAGCCTCAACAGAGAGAGTGTGGTGCTTATTAACTGTTCTTGTTTTTCTGTCTCTAACAGGGAAGCAAGTGCAATCTATAACAGCAGATGCACTGAGGTGTGAACGATGAAGCTTTCAAACCAGATTATTTTATATCAGAGATTTGAAAACCTGACTTCCATGTGCACAACAAGACTTTACACACTGAAGATTTCTGTTTTTGACTTGAGACCATTATCTCACTTGCATCCATACGTGGGATGTATCTCTTCACTTCACTTCTTTGAGAGCCATTATTGGAGCTTTGCTCTCTTTGCAGTTTACAGTTTTCCCTCAAGATGAGTCATATTTGCTCTGCTTCAGAGGGATGCACCATACATTTTTTTTGGTTGCATCATAAATTGTTTCTGAGAAATGAAAGAAAATTTGCCTTTTGCCTGTGAGAATGTAAAATCAGACAGTTTATTAGTATGAAAAAGTCCAACAAGCCTAAAAGTATCCATTAATTTTGTTGCCCAAAAAATTATTTTATGATGATTTATGTTGCCTAGAAGAATATTTTAACAGGATATATTTATATATTTTGGTGTTTACTTTTAAGAAGTAAGAAATGTGTTATGCTCTTTACAGTGCTGTCCATGGCTTTCTAAACAACTGTCGTTCTCATTAAATATAAATATATTTTGATATTGTATTTTTGATACGGTCCTATTAATGTACTCATTAATTGTGTTCCAGGAATGAAGTAATGGGGTGAAATAAATGTTGAAGTTGAAATAAAACGGTCAACATTTTTTCCTCCATAAAGTGTCAGTAGACATGCATGTCTACACTGCTGTGTTGCTTCAGACAAAGAATGATTACTTCTATTGCACAAAGACATTCCATTAGTTACTTTTGACCAATGTGTTTTGTCTTATTCTCTCAGTTGCTTAAGATAAGCCAAGTTATGTTAGGCTACTTCCCTCTACATAATTTCGCAAGAATTTAATAGTAGAAATAATAGTAAATGGAATGTCTGGAAGTTTATGTTCTTTCCTTGTTGTTTGCCGTCTTGGAATATTGGCTACTTCCCTCTACATAATTTCGCAAGAATTTAATAGTAGAAATAATAGTAAATGGAATGTTTGGAAGTTTATGTTCTTTCCTTGTTGTTTGCCGTCTTGGAATATTCATAAATCTTCCTAAAATATCAATATGTCTTCCTTTTTTATCTAGTCCTTGAAGATATATGGAAGTGAGATGAGACAGATGTGTCTCATCTTGTAGTGGAATGTATGCATTCACTCTTTTTATATAAAACAGCAGATTTTTTTACAGTACTTTTCTTAACTACTGCTTCCTCTCAGTGTTGCTGGGTCACACATATGGAACTGAGTAATTTCATGTGTTCATATTTCTGTGGCTGCGTTGGGCTTCTCTGTTCAGCCAAACATACTTGGCTCATACCACTTAAACCAGATATGCATAAAATGTGGAGTGCCTTTGTATTTAGAGACATTAAAGGTCTTAATCTTCATTTTAAATTACCATTTTCCTCTTGCGGATAAATTTTTACTTCTGTCTTTGAGATTTTTTGTCTTTAATGTTTAGAGAGTAAACAGTTAGAACCAGTTCTCTGTTAGGAAAATGCTTGGCAGAAGATCTTTAAAAACAAACATTGCACTCTCTGTTCTCTCCCTCTCTTCATCCACTGAACTCTGTCTCTCTGAGTAAAGTTAGGCCAAAGCTCTTTGTCAGCGTTTTACAATTCTGTCTCTATATTGAAGAGAGAGCCGCTTTGGTCAGTGGTTGCTCAGGATGTTCCTATGCACTCAAATAAAGACCACAACAATTGTACACTGACCCATAATGCATTCCAACCTATCAGCCATTGGCCTCAAGAAGCCTTCCAAAAAAGAAGAAAAGAGTTGAGTAAGCATGCACAAGACTTTTTTTTTTGTATCAGTTCCCTTTAAATTCCCCTGGAGAAAAAAAAATGGATTGATTCAACAGATGCAGAAAGAGGGAGATTCTGAAGAAAAAGGGAGAGAGGGAAGGAGATAAAGTACATTAAAGCACAAGAAACTGAAAGCAATATTTTTCATGTGTTATATTTGTGTGAGGTGGAAAATAAAATTGTGTGCACATCAAACTTGAGAATTGATTTTTTTTCAAGAAAGTTATATCAAAATCATTGGTGGTTATTTGTTTAGTCTTTGCAAGTGGCACACAACAAGGCAGGACATAATTTTGCTACACAATTCTCTGGAAATTACTTATACAAATGTTCAAATATGCATTTATTTCGAAAGGCAATACGTTTGTCATAATTGTGCTTTCAGAGTAAGGCTTTAACAAGATATTTAACTTCAAAGGTTTATTTCAGATATAATGTCATTCATATCCACTTTTGCACTCAAAATCCAAGGCTAATATAACTGTAACAACCACAAAAGCCTGTAGCAGTGTTACATGGAAAGCAAAAATTGCATATATTTATTGCAAAACCAACAAAATCTGTTTCTTTAGTTGTAAACAGCTACAACATTTTAGTTCACAGTTCATTTCAGTTTCTCTTTCTAGACTTCATGATTATAGCCTTTAAACTGTGAATTTCTGTGTGCAAAATAAAAATATATATATTTAGGATAAGCCGGATAAGCTGGACAGGCTTATATTTCAAATCTATGTAAAAGAAGCAGGTCTGATGAAAATGAGTTAGTCTTTGGAGTAAGGTGTTGCTAAAGGAACTAATGGCTGTTAATGTTTCATGTCTATACGCTGCCTTCTCTCAAACAGGCCTCAGGTTCATATCATTCATTCAACCATTCAACCACACACACAAGTGTGCATCTCGGCCTGTCTGTTAGACTTAGTGCTCTGCAAGCATGCTTCTATATCTCCGGCATGTTGTAATACTTAAGGGTGCCGCTGGCTATAATTTATACTCTAGTAAAAACTTTAGAGTTCACTCACTCCACTACAGGTCACAATATGTGTGTGTGTGTGTGTTTGAGAGAAATAGGCTGATTGCATTTCTCTTGTGACTTTGGTGGTAAAGATATGTAAAATCCCATGGACGTCTAATGCCTTCTTGTCCAATGAGTTTAGCACTATGTCATGGACAGAGATTAGATGGTCATATCTGTGAAATCTCGTCTTGTGAACCCTTTCTGCAAAATAAAAAATAAAATAAAAAAACAGAAAAAGAGAATTTAGTAGCAATTCTAAATTGGTAGTATATAACAGGCTAAATATAAAAGATAGTAGTCATATAATGCTGAAATTGGTACACTGTATAAGGTGATGGAAAGGAAGTTGCCCAAACTTAGATCAAAATGGAACATCATGCATTCCACTGTCACATTTAACATGGACCACTGATCTGACCATTCTGAACACCACAGACACGCAACAGACTTTAACTAGTCTTAGCCTCAAACAGCAAACACATGAACTGCCCACAGTTCATTTACTGACCATCAAAAAAAAAAAAAAAAAAAAAAGGCTCTTTGGAAAAAAAGTACTGACCTGCAACAATGAGTGCTTCCAAGAAAGAATAAAATCACCGGATTGTACAGTTTGTGAGGTACTTGGAATCAAAAAGTTTTGTTTAGGCTACTACTAGATATCTATGAGTATACCTGTGCTAGATTTTGTGATCCGAATGTGATCGGAAGTACAGATTATTTCAAATATATAATCCAATTTGTACTTCCGATCACATTCTGATCACAAAATCTAGCTATTTTTTTTCTGCACATTCATTCAGTTTATTTTGGTATTAATTTTATATTTGAATATCATGCTGTACAAGGACTTATGGTTGGTCACATATGAGTCAAACAGTATCTTTCTGTGTAACTAGTCAATGTGACTAGGCTTTAACTATTTAATATAACAAAACCGTTAAATGACATGTCTGACAACCATGATATTTTGACCTTTGACTGAGTTTGTCATCAGTTTTTGGTAGTATGTTTACAGTCCTGCTTGAGTAAATTCATTTTGTTGTAAACATGCTCCAATATAATTAAAGACATGAGAAAAGTCATTTTAACAGTAAAAACAGAAAAGACACAGAAGTGTCATGTCTGGTAATCAGTAATGGGTTGTAGGTAAATATTTTTCCAGCTCAGTTATATAACTGACTGAGAGAGCTGATATCACTTAGGAGAGCATCTGAACAGCTTTACAGTATCCTTAACTGAGCTATTCATACACTGTAACCGCCTATTTTTATTGACTTGCCATAAAAAAAAAACAGTTGACCATTGGCCAAGCAGGCTGATACTTGGTAAGCAAATACACTCAATACCCATCAGTGCAAAGTCTGTATACAGTAAGGTATCCATTTTCATATCAAATTACAGAGAAGAAGCTTTTGTCACACGCCTACTACTTGCGACTCTGAACAGTTACACAGTCATTTGTGCTTTTTTAGCTGGGTTTTACACCGAGACTCACCTGTTTGTAATCTTTGTGAAGTTTGGTGTACTGAAACATGTTGGACAGAACGGTGGAGGCGGCCCTGGCGGCTTTCAACTTCCCAGGACTGGGACAGAATAAGAAGGGAGAAACGTGAGAAGCAATGCTGGGACATTGTGCCCTTGATTAAACAGCTAAATAATGCAACAGCATGTAGTCTATATTACAACAGTAGTGCTGAGAGGTGGTAGGTGAGGTCCAATATAAATGGATCATTTAGAGTATGATTTGTGCCTGAACATTTCAAGAAACCTTGCTGATTTCTTATCATATCAGTTGGGTCACAGCTGAACTTCAAAGAAATTATACTTTCTCACTTCAGGTTTAAAGTAACAGGGCTGTAAGCACCATAAACGTTGGGGGCCTCCATAAAAGATCCAATATTCAGAATAGTGGACAATAAATATGGGTTTTCAAAAGCCAATTCTTACACTAGCACCTCCAATCCCATCTTTTGGCCAGATTCAGCCAGATGTAGCTTTTACTCACAAATGAAAATATTCACATTTGTGACATGCTCTTTTTTTTCTCCTTCTGCATATATAACCAATTACTATCAGAGGTAACAATTCAAGCCAATCAGCTTTTAAGTACGTCTTGCTCTTTTCACTTTTAGGAATAGAAAGTTCATAGGAACTGCATTTATTTGAAATAAAACTTTTTAGTAACATTATTAATGCATTTACTGTCATGATCAATTCAATCCTCCCATGCTGAATAAACATATTAATTTCTTTCAAAATGTTTTTTTAAATTATTATTTTACCTGTTGTCATGAGATGTCTTAATGCTGACCAGCTTGGGTAGTCCATCAAAGTAAGTGATATCTCTCGCAGCTAGAGAGCTTCCTGTAACCAGGTTGTTGAGAACCCCACAGATGTTGACCACCACCTCACTAGAAGGTTCTTTCTGATGCCCATCACTGGGGAGTTTGTTCACCAGAATATTCACCACTTTGGTAGCTATGGATAGGAAGCAATAACAAATTTAGCTGGAATTGCACAAACAAAAAGAGTGAATGATATGTGTGTAGTGTGACTAAGCAGGCGCCCTGTGGCCCAGCGGGGGTGGATTATAGTGAAGCAGAGAACTGAGGTCAGGGTGGGGATAAACGGGCGGCAGCGGATACTGGGAATGACACAAGTATGAGTCTGATGGGAGCTGAAAAGAATGTGTGGGAGTAAAAACAATGTGTAAGAATCCCATTTAATACTATGAGGGGGAACGGTGCACTCTGGGAAGTGAGAATAAAAATACAGATTGTCGGGTTTTTCATAGTTATCGCCTTGCGCAAAACTTCATGTAGGTTTTTGCTGATCTAGACATTTTCTTTGCCAGAATGTTGAAATCTTGGCTGGGGTGTTTTACACATTAAGATGTGATTAAAGCCAGAGAGCTGGAGCAGAAAGTCATTCACTAACCCATATCAGCTTTGTTTTTGCAGTGTCGGGAGAGGTTCCTCAGCAGACCCGTGAGAGAACGGAGCTCGGCATCTGTGGGGCTTCGCAACAGGTCGAGAATCACCGGCAACATCCGCTCCTGCTCCAGCGCCACACGACACAACACAGAGGCCCACTAAGAAAGAACAAAGGAAAATGGTGAGTGAAGGAAAACAAGAGAGACAGAGAGCAATCAGTTATACAGTCTGCCAGATAAAACACAAAGACACACGCACTCTTAAAAATAAAGGTTCCAGATGGGGGATTTTACAGAGATGTCACTGAATAACCTTGACTTTTAAGAGTGTAGGAGAACAGCGAGAAATGGGATGGAAAAATAAAGATGGGAGAAACATGCAGACTGAATAAGTAGGAGAGTTTAAGAGCACACTGGAGCACTAAAAGTGATAAATAACAGAGATAAAAGTGACACATTCAGCTACTATTAAGATTACGTTACATAGTGCTGGGCGGTATGACCAAAAATTTATATCACAGTATTTTTCAAAATTATACCGGTTTCACGGTATATGACGGTATATTTTTTCCCATGCATGACCGGGTGTTAACCATATTTTCTACTGATTGAGAGAGGAAATACTGCAGTAGATTGACTTAGAATGCCCTATTTTACTGTCACGATGAGTGAATATTGTCAAAAAATACCACACTAAATAGTGACTAAACACGACCCCTTTTAATACATGTTAACCAGGAGTCACTCTCATTTATAAATGCATCTACACTAAAGAGCGGCTATGCGGTGGTTTTGCCTATATTACTTTTTTGTCTCATGCAGCGCACTGCCTGCGTCTGAGTAACAAACTAGAAAAAAAAGTGCATAATATTAACAGACGAGTCAGTGCATAATATTAAGTCAGGCCTCGCGCTCGTGGGGCAGTACTGGCGACATCTTCCAACTGAACGATGGCTAAGGTTTATCCAAAAAAGTAGCTAGGTTTGTCAGTATGTATATTCTATGGGGAAAAAGCCGCTAAAAGGGTCTGAAAGTTGCTAAAATCTAGTGCTGAAGTCGCGCTCGTGTGTGTGTGAGACGCGGGAGCTGATGGCAGGGGGCGGTGGATATTTGTGGTGGTCAATGTGGATATTGTGGATGAGTTCTTCTGTGTCATCACGTTCTATTAGTTCTACAGCTTTAGTTTCAGAACTTTCACACTTCGTAACACATACAGCTGTTCCCTCAACACAGTGCAACAGTGAAAAGGAACCCCTTTCAAACAGTGTCGCGTTCCGAACGTTGTTTAAGCGACATACACCGGTATTGCGGTATTTTAAAAATTCATATCATTAAAAAAATAAACACCGGTATTCGGTATGAACTGGTATACCGCCCAGCACTAACGTTACATATGATTACGACTCACAAATTAGATTAAATATGAGGATATTGTGGATGAGCTCTTTTGTATCATCACGTTCTACTAGTTCTACAGCTTCAGTTTCGAAGCTTTCACGCTTAGTAACGCATACAGCGGTGTCCTTGCCACAGTGCAACAGTGAAAAGGGACCCCTCTCAAACAGTGTTCCGAACGTTGTTTAAACGACATACGTATTGCGGTATTTTAAAAATTCATATCATTAAAAAAATAAACACCGGTATTCGGTATGAACTGGTATACCGCCCAGCACTAACGTTACATATGATTACGACTCACAAATTAGATTAAATATGAGGAAGTTCAGTGTCGTATCTGGTATCTCACCCTGCTGTCGCCCGCTGTGATGTTCTGCAGGGCTCCCGCCGCTCCCTCACGTGTGGCTGTGTTTGTTTCGGTGTTCTGCAGGATGCGGTTGTACAGAGCGACTATCTGAGGGTGCCACAGCCAATCTGTTCCTTTCGGGACTCGTGCCACTTCAGAGAAGGTGCTCAGGTCTTGATTCCTCTGATGGGACACATTATAACTCATTAATGACAGACTGCAGATATGAAGTATAATACCTCTGTCTATTGCACTGGAGAGATAATTACACTACTCTTCAAAAGGTTTGAGGTCAGTAAGAATTTTTTTTTTAAAGAAATTAAAAATTAATTTTAGCAAGGACGCATGAAATTGATCAAAAGTGACAGTAAAGACATTTATAGTGTTGCAAAAAAAATGTTTCAAATAAATGCTGCTCTTTTTAAATTCCTATTCATCAACAAAATTCTGAAAAAAGTGTATTATTGTTTCCACAGAAATATTAAGCAGCACAACTGTTTTCAATATTTATAATAATATAATATAACAATAAGAAATGATAGAATGATTTCTGGAAGATAATGTGATATTGAAGAATGGAGTAATGGCTGCTGAAAATTCTGATTTCCTACAACAAAAATAAATTTTTCTAAAAAATATTAAAATAGAAAACAGTTATTCTAAATTGTAATAATATTTCACAATAATATTGTTTTTACTATATTTTGATCAAATAAATATAGCCTTATGAGCATATGATTTCTTTAAAAAACATTTAAAAAATGGCCCTGTTCTTAAAATGTTCAATGGTAGAGTATGTATTATTATTTACAATATACTGTATATTCAAAGAATATCCTATATAAAAAAGGATATATTGTTGTAAAAAAAAAAAAAATGTCAACAAATAATTTCGGGAAATATTAGATTAGGTTTGGGAAAAATCAAATGTGAACAATATAAAATACATAATATGTGAAAGGAAAGTAAGGTTAATAATATTGCTAATACGTTAAAATGTATGTTGATGTGATAGCAGATTGTGGGTAAGTGACTGACATCTTTTGCTTTCTTGCTCTGTGGTGTGAAGCAGCCGATGGGGTCGTTGTGCCGCGTGACCTGTGCTCGAGTGGGTCCTTCCAAACGCATCTGAACTGAAGCAGGGATCTCAGAGTACAGCTGGTACGACAGGTTGCGCAGGACACACACACAGTTTTCTACACCCTAGAGGCACAGAATTACAGAATGAGGATTTCAAATGCTTTTGCAAATGATGTTTTGATTTTATATAGATTTAATAACAATTGTTTTCTAATTGCCATGTGAGAACTACTGTAGATCTAGAATGGTTTTCAACTGGCAAAGATGCACTTTGTGCACTGGCTCAAGGCTAGCATATTAGCAAGCACAACATTTGAATGTCAATTCTCAGGTCTGACCTTGTCCTCTCCTTTTCCCTCCTGTAGGGAGTTTTCGATGTATCCAACCAGAGAGTCTACCAGCCCTCGCGTTTCCCGCATCTGCTGCCTGGTTCTTTCATTCACTGAGCTCAGGTTCCTTCAATGCATATAAAGGGGTGTTGTTAACATGTCAAGATGTTTTATTTCATGCATTTGTGTTAAAATATTTATAGGAGGTTAATCTTTATTGTGTCTATAAATCTTTCCAGCGGGAACTCTTACACGTTGAATACTCTTTGTATGGCGTCTTTTACAAACTTGTATATTACAAAAAGGTGGCAAAAACCATTAATAACAAACATAATAATAAACATCAGTAACATTATAAACATCAGCCATAAACATTCATATCTGAGGTTGTTAACCATTGAAAGCATGTGAGTGATTGTGTGTACAGTGTATTAACTCTTATTTTTATTTGCTTTATTTCAGGTACATTTTTAACAAATATACAAGTATCTGACATTATGCACAATAACAGGCTGATATATATATATATGTATATTCTGAAATATACAATTTATAATTTTATTTTTTTAATGTTAAAATGAAGCATTCATTTTGGATACATTTTATGCTCCCACAATTGAAATATCTGGGGCTTTTTATTAAATTCGTTGACATTTGTGCCCCATGCTCTTGTTCATTTTTAACTATGCTGTGCATGCATAGAACTGAAATGCATTTAAATGCATGCATGTATATGTGAGGTCTGTACCTGAGGCAACCTGTGGTGTTGTAGAAAATATCAGCCTCAGACGCACTCTGTTGAATGACACCAGCATCTCCTCCTCCAGACAGAGGCACCAGCACTCTCTCCGTCAGCTCAGACAAACTCTCTCTGGCCAGCCTCTCCTTCAAACTGTCTTTAGAAGACAGGTTCCACAAAATCCCTACAGAGACCAAGAGAGAAAGAGAGAGAGATTTGTCAAAGACACTTATAATTTAAAATGTTTAGTCCTCTTTAATGAGTTTAGCTTTTTGCATATAAATATAGTATTTATTCGTAAATGCTGATGGAGTGTAACAACTAATAGTCTATTACATTTTAGTTATATCATATATATATATATATATATACTGTATATATAAAGTTTTTTTTTAAAAATCTCATCTTCCACTACTACAGCATACTTTGTATCTACATATATGTATCCCAAAAAATGACTTTAATCCAATTTCACCACCTAAACCATGTGGTTTGTAAAAAATTAAAATAAAAAATCATGTGGATTTCTGCCATTCAGACTAAATAATTCATTCATAAATCTAAATGGATTTATGTAAAAAAAAAAAAAAATGCATTTCAAAATTTAAAACATGTTTATTCATTTCATTATGAAAATAATTGACGAACTGACATTGCAGGGATGAATATTTTAAACATATGACCGCCCAGTCATGGTAAAGTAGTAGTCAAGCATTAAAATTCAAATACTGCAAAAAGTGCATAATTGAGAACTACTGCACATATTATAAGCAGTAATCTAGTCGAAATATCTATATTAATCAAGAATAATATGTTAATGTGTGATTAATATGTATAAAAATGATTTTAAAAACAACAGCACATTTACATTTATAGTCTAAATTCTCAAATGTTATTTAGTATGGGGATGTTTACTACACAGAGCACTAAGCTGCTAGTGACTTGTGAGGTTTTAAGGCCAACACAGTTAAGTGTACAAGTCATGAAATGTCACTAAGAGACCTGGCAACCCTGAGTCCAGCAGGAAAGAATGTCAAGGATTGTTTACTAAGTGAGTGTGGGTGCGTGAGGGGGTGGGGGTGATAGCAGAGCTCACAAAGCACAAAGGCCTCTGGGAGTCTACTTCCCACTGCATCTGAGACTTAGAGCGATTCCAGGAAACAGCCAGACCGCTTTTTTCTTTTCTGTTCTCTCTGTTTCTCCAAATACACTCGTTCACTGTTCCGCTTAGCTCTCTTCCTGTCTGCGCTGACAATTCTGCTTGGCACTTAAAAATCACCCGACTGATGCAGGTGGAATTTCTGGACTGAAACAATACTGATGTATATACTTGACTTCTAGCTAAGACATGCGTGCCACTTTGTATTTGCAAAGTGAAGTTCACAGTCCAAAAATTTGCCTTGCTCTGAAAAACAAAACTCACACAAACATACCTGTGATATTTTTGCATAGTTCATCATCGGGTTCTCTTAAAGCACCAATTAGTTTGCTAATTCCACCAGCTTCGATAAGTGCTGTCTTGTTGTCCATATTCTCGTAGATGAGGTTGCGTGTAGCTCCTGTTGCATAGCGCTGAACTTCTTGGTTCTCACTGCTAAACAGCTGTACTAATGCTGAGATGCCCTTCAAACTGCACACCTGTGCATCAAGAAAAACATCTAGTTTAGCTTTGTGAGAAATATCCTGATTCCTAAGTGATCCCATGTCTCTGAATCCCATTTTTGTGTTTCAAACTTCATAGACAAAAATCGTTAATCTCTTGAACACTTTTTTCAGCACAACATGGCAACCTGCTCAGACATCTGTCTGTGTTTTGCCACCATGTGCTCTCAGGCGGAATGTTCTGCCCCCTGAGGTCCAGGATAAAGATTAAAGGCAGGGTGAAGGTATTCTCTCCATCTGGCTTGAGTATAACATATAACAATAGAGACGGAAAATCAGCTTAGCCTTGAGCTTTACCATGCTCCATTAATTATGCAAATATATATTTTGCTGACAACTAATTTTTTTTTAAACAAACTTCACATGATTTACTTTTTGTTGTAGAGTTGTCTATTTGTCTTAATTCCTTCCCTTGAACATGGTTTATGTTTATAGACTTTAAAAGGATTTTTGGTCATTTTGTCTACTCGACCACTCAACAGATAAATCAATCCTTGAGGATTCATTCTGCGCTATTTTTTGCACAATGGGTTATTGTACTTATGCATCAGTCTTTGGTTGCTGCTGCCTGTTTCTTCAGTGTCTCTGGCCATGAGCTTTGAGATTTTTAGACAAAGTGTGAAGTTCATAAGAGTTCAACTTTTTAAAACACGTCACTAGGCCCGGCATTCTGTTCCTGTCGGATGCACTTCATCTAGCTGCTTTTGAAAGGAAGAACACATCCTGTGTGTACGCCCTCTAATCCTGTCCAAACAGAGCTCTGTTGCTGCCCTGGACTGAAAGCCTCGATAATATACTTAAGAAAAAATTGCTATCTGCCCAGGATGGACCCCAAGGAAATCGAAAAAAATTACACTGTAACCAATCACAACATTAAAACTTATGATCTCATTTCGTTGTTGATTTCGACTGAATTGAGAAATGTTTCGAAGTTTAAAAAAAATCAAATATTAGTGGTTATTTGGAAAAATCATAACATTATTGGATATCTTTCACAAGGACATTAATAAGTGCATGAGGTTTCACCGATTCGTGTGAAATATAAAGGTAAAATTGGATCTCTATTCTCATTTCCTTAGTTCTGTCATAGTACAGTATGTGTTATTTCCATAGTGTCCTTTGTTTCAAATGTATATTTCTGATCTAATAAATATATAATTATATATTTTTACCATGGTCTTGGCTTCATTGCTGTGGTAACACTGATGCTGTATGTAGGCTGCTCCCAACATCTGCATAGCAACATCAGTGGAAGAGAGGTAACTGACTGCTGTAATCATGTCCAGGTTATGGATTCTGTTCATTCACACAAACAAAATGGAAAGTGTTACAAAATATATTCTAAAAATATAATGTACTTAAAATTTTTAATATGTTTTTTATTAAATAAAATTATATTTAATTTGTGAGCATAATTTAAAACATTACCCATCAAAAGTTTAGGGAAATAATTTTTTTTTAAAAGAAATTAATACTTTTATCCAGCAAGGATATATTCAATTGATTGACAGTAAAGACTTTTGGATTGTTACATATTTCTACTTGAAATAAATGCTGTTCTTTTTTTAACTTTCTATTCATCAAAGAATCCTGATAAAATGTTTCACAGGTTCCACAAAAACTATTAAGCGTCACAACTGTTTCACAACCTTGATAATAATGTTTCTTGAGCAGCAAATCAGCATATTAAGAGTGATTTCTAAGGATCATGTGTAGGGATGTAACGATTAAAAGCGAGCCGGTTGAAAATCGATTCAAATAGTGACGATTCAAATTGGTTGAGATGCCAAACAAATCGCGATACAATTGGAGTAGACGTTTATATGAATGTATATCTGAGGGGAACTTACTATCTTTAGAAAAGTTTATGTGGTATTTTCTTTTCATCTTGCCTCTGAACAATGCATATTAAAGTAGTGTTCATAAGTGCAGCTCTGCTTTGTTTACAGCGGTAACCCAGGAAACACTGTATCATTGCTGTTCATGAGCACCACCTGCTGTCAGCGAGTGAATCTGCATCTCATTCAGCTCGTCTGCGGTTTCTTTCAGATATGTTTTATGTAGTATAGTTTCACAAAACTAATGTCAGACCATTCTGTTTTTGCTTCAAATTTCGAAATTATACAGTCTAGATACAGTCTAAATTAGATACAGTCTAATTTAGATTAAAAACTACTCATGCTGCATGTATGCTGCTTCTTTGTTTGGAAGAGCACAGACCTTAAGTTTGTTCATATTAAGAGATTTATTTTATTTGTGTAACTTACTTGTTTGATTTGGGGTTTGTTTTAAAATTTCAATTTAGTTTTGTTATATTTCAATTTCACAAAGAAACGTGCAGCAATAGCCTAATAAAACGACACCTTTTCATTTACTGTATAATGCCTTCAATCTTATTTTGTTAAAAAATTGTGAGAAAATCGAATCGTGAAATCAAAATCGTGAATTGAATCGAATCGAATCGAATCGTGATTTGAGTGAATCATTACATCCCTAATCATGTGACACTGAGAACTGGAGTAATGGCTGCTGAAGTTCTGAAGTTTTAGCTTTGCCATCACAAGTATTAAGTACATTTTAAAATATACTAAAACAGAAAACAGTCATTTTAAAATATAATCACATTTTACAATATTACTGTTTTTTTCCATATTTTTGATCAAACAAATACAGCCTAGATGAGCATAAGGGACTCCATAAAAGAGTTCGTTCACCCAAAAATGACAATTCTGTCATGAATTACTCACCCTCATGTCGTTCCAAACCCGTAAGACTTTCGTTCATTCAATTTCACAAAGAAACGTGCAGCAATAGCCTAATAAAACGACACCTTTTCATTTACTGTATAATGCCTTCAATCTTATTTTGTTAAAAAATTGTGAGAAAATCGAATCGTGAAATCAAAATCATGAATTGAATCGAATCGAATCGAATCGTGAGTTGAGTGAATCATTACATCCCTAATCATGTGACACTGAGAACTGGAGTAATGGCTGCTGAAGTTCTGAAGTTTTAGCTTTGCCATCACAAGTATTAACTACATTTTAAAATATACTAAAACAGAAAACAGTCATTTTAAAATATAATCACATTTTACAATATTACTGTTTTTTTTTATTTTTTTTTTTAAATCAAATAAATGCAGCCTTGGTGAGCAAAAGAGATTTATTTAAAAAAACATACAAAAATCTTACCAACCCCATACTTTTGAAGGTTGTGTATGTGTTTAAGATTTTTGAAGACTCATCAAGTGTTTAAAGCAAAAGTTCTCATCATGCATATTGCATTGTATGAATGCTTCTATGTTGTATATACCTATAGGCTTGAATTTTGTATATATGGCAAGAGAACATGACTAAATGGAATCAATTGACATTTTCTTAAAGGGGTGGTTCACTGTTTTTTTTCTAGGCTTGATTGTGTTTATGGGGTGCAGTGTAACATGTGTTAATGCTTAATTTTTTTTAAAAAGCATTATTTTTCACATAATTTACCTTTATTCCACACCGCTCTGTCCCTTCTCTGAGAAACACGATGATCATTTCCTTCTTGTATGAAGCCCCTCCATCAGAAATAGGCGATGGGCTCTGATTGGTTAGCTAGCCCAGTGTGTTGTGATTGGCTAAACCGCCTCTAGTGCGCATCTAAGCGTCCCGCCCCTCACCTCAGCGGCATGTGCTCCGGTTATATTGTAAACAACGGTGTTGTTAATACGATTGAGAAGCAGAGGATATTATTGAAGAGGATTATGCAGAACCTGTGCAAGCACGGCTTTTAATGGAAGGCCTATGTTTTTTGTTGGTTGTTGTCTCATACTTTTAGATACGCTGTTATTTGTAAATGCTACTGCTTATGTTAGCTTTTAATATACAGTTTTATCCTGATTAAAGCTTTAATACAGTACGGCAACTGCACGTGCGTGTCCATGTATAACGCTTCTCATAGCTATGTGAAAATAAGTGTATAATTGGAACAGTTCATTGTCGGAGCTGAGCTGAATGAGAGAGAGAGACATGCAGAGCATGTGCAGAGCAGGGGGACGCGAGGAACAGTATTAAGAACTGCTGCTTTAGAACATTGATTTTGAAACTTGTGAATCCATTAGAATCGTTAGAAGACAGAATCGCGATTCATATATGAATAGATTTTTACATGCACCTCTAGTTTTCTCTTCCTCTTTTCTAAAGCA